CTCAAACGAGGGGTACAGATCGATACCCTCGTTCTTTGGCCGCGGCGCGAGTTGCGGCTGAGGTCGAAGTGAGGGCTCCTCCCATTCTGGTGTCCGGTGCAGACTTCGCGACTGGGCGGGAAAGACCTTTTGCGATACAGTGCCTTGCACCCTGTCCCCTATAACCCTGTCAATCACCTCCCAGAAAGCATCCAGCCTGGCCTCCGCCTGCCGCAGTGTCTTCACGTGCTCCTTGGTTCGGCGCTTGTCGATCGGATAGGCGAATTTTCCTCCAGACGGGTCTCCGAGAGCGACGGCACGACTGGCGACTATCGTCACAGGAAGCGCTTCATCAATCCCGGCAACGATCCGATACCATGGGCTTGTTACCTTGTCGTAGTCTGCCTCGAACTTCCGCTTTTGTGCCATGCCATCCTGAACTCAGGTTCGGGCCCATGGCTGATACAGTCCCAATTGCTTGAGGCACTGCGCAAGGATCGAGAGGTCGCCGATGACGCCTGCCAGAAAGGGGGTGATCATACCTCGTGCCCCTGGCTCGTTGTCGAGCAGGCGTTCGAGCTCATCCATGAGCAACGGCACCCCGGCCAGTACCAACACCATCCCGTTATCGAACGCCTTGCCAAGCACCCAGAGCAACTTCTTCTCCACTGCTGTGGGTTTGACCCCAGGTCTTTCTTCAACTTTAAATTGTGAAGACAGCGAATCAGATGTTGGTGCGCGCATGAAGAATCGACGGAAGGGCGGGGAGGGACGGAAGGTCATTCGGAGCAGTTTCAGGGGATCGTGGACTGCCTTGCCCAGATCGTGGCGAAACCGCAGCAAAGCGGTCAAGAACTCCTCAGGCAGACTCTGAGATGGTGAAATCTGGCTTGCATATTGGTGCTGCAGGGATACCAGGGCCCGAGCTTGCTGGCTCAGCTCGTTAAAGGTCTCGACTTTCAAGAAGGCGTCGCAAACCACGCACGCCAAAACCCGCGCCCAGATTATGTTCTTCCGGTTGCCCCTTAGATCGGGATGGTCGCGGCCCTGCAGATCCTTCAGCATTTCGGGGGTATGTTCAGCCATATCGAGCACGACGCTGGCGAAATAGTCGGGGTCTTCGCGCAGGGCCCATTGGTGGTCTTCCGCCGCGGAGGTGCGGGCTGCAAGGAGCGACGCGATGCGACTAAGGTCGAGTTGTGCAGGCACACGATACGGAGCTTCTGCGGCCATCAATCTCAGAGATTCAAAGCCGCTTAGCTCAGTCTCCGATTGGGTTTGTGGCGGGGGAAGGATGGGGAACGAGTCGAAGTTGTCCACGGGAATATCTGAAAGTAGTTGATGGCAGCACTGCACGAGAAAGGTCAACAATCTCGCTTGAGCTTCTAAAACCAAAAGGCCTTCCCCCGGCATGAATTGCTTGAGTGACCAGGACGTGAACTCTTTATCATTATCATCATGACAGGTGACAAGCTCGCCATACTGGCGATTGTTATCAACGAACCCGTTCAGAGCCATCTGATGATTACGCAGGGTGTCCAGATCAAGCGCCCGGCTCACCAGCCCAAACTGCATCGCGTCAATGTCTGCCGCCGCAAAGCTTGACGGTGGATTACGGCCTCGGGAGTTGAGAAGCAACAACAGGACTTTGGGGCTCACCAGGTCCTCCTGATTAATATATGGCCACATAAAGCAGTCACGGCACCGCGGGGCCCTCGCTCGTTTAGGGTTATACGCCCCTTTACGCCAGGTATCAAGGTCGGGACGATGAACGGCAGGCATATCTGGCCAAGCCTCGAGCAGGACTTTGAGTCTCTGCTGGCGTGTTCGCTTTAACCATCTCTTCGAGATAGTGGCCTCGTGGCGCTCCAGTATCCTGTGCAGGGTGTCATAAGAGGTATAGATCGTCTCGGATCTCGCTTCGGCTTCTTGTCGTATCTCGCTTTCGGATCTAGCCGTCGATTTCGGTCCTTTGTTAGAGCAAGCCACAGTCAAGGTCGCCATTAGCGCTGTGGCATCACCCCAGTCAAGGTTGGAATGGGCGCCATCGGCAGCCAGGTCGGGCTGAAGTAGATGCTCTAGTTGATCGTTCGCGAAGGAATCCATTTTCGAAGGCAGATATTAACTTTCTTCCTGGATATTAACAAACTGGGTTTGGTGGGATCCGAGTTCTGATTGACCTTCCTATGGATCTTTATATAGCAAACGAGAACGTGCGACCGCCTGCCCAGTTGCCTGGTACTGCCGCATTCCCGAATGATGATATTCACATATATTGGGAATCAGCATGAACATTTCACCACATAAGCGGAAGTTCACACACAAATTACGAAGTGAATGAACCATACTTCTATGTTACTTTCTCTGGACAATCATGTTGCTAAAACATTTCGTTCTACATTCTTTGTGACTTACTCTTTCAACACCCCTGTTCCGATTCTGCCCGTTTTCTGCTCTATCCCGACGATGAAGCCGTCTTATAGCATGGTGATACGGGCTCTCTCAGCGGCTGTTCCACATACCAAACATCAAGTTGTGGAGTACAAAGAAGACTAGCTAGCTCGGTACATGGACGATCACTGTGACCGCTACGGCTTTGTTACTATTTCCAGAGGACCTGGTTTGTGAAGCGTATCGGTGACAAACACTTCGCCATGTCGCCTCCGATCACCGGTAAGGTTCACTCCTCTGCTACCGAAGTCTCCCTCAGAGACAGCGTTCTGGCAAGCTCTGAGGGCGGTTGATGCTACTGGAAGCCTGTACAACTAAATTCCCGGTCATGATCTGCGGAGCTCCTGAACTATCCCGATTCACAGCCTTATTAATAGGTTTCTTTTGAACAGACGCTCCGGGTAACTTGGTATTCAAATTATTGGAATGGAAGTCAATGGATTCCACGTCTGTTGGCACACTTCAAACGGATCCAGAAGAACATATTGTCCTATCTTTGAAGGCACGATAGGCTAAATTTGACAGCCCATGATCAGAACAACCCAGCTGATACCCATCGAAGTTCAGATCTGGCTCGACAATTATATTAAGTGTGATAATTGTCACCGACATTCGGTGCGGGATTTATAGGAGCAGTACCGTTTTACGCTGGTCACTCAACACAATGGAGAGGATGTCCGAAAGTCCAACAAATGGTACATTTATCCAGCTGAGCATTACTGGAATAGCATGGGTTGCCAATCCCGATGATCACCCCGTCTTTATATTCAGAAACGTCGCGGCTGATCATGATGATGGCATGATCTCTACCGGCACTATACATCCCAACCACCATAACCCTCAAATCATGGTCTTGATACTGTATCGCGCGGGATGACGCAGCCATCGAATGGCTACCAGAGTACAAGACCTAGACAGGGCGAAGCGAAATCAGCTGGCTTTCGATGTGATCCGCAGTCCGGAAGTGGGGGCTGCACATAATCTGTGGGCGATTGTCTGGCCCTACAAAGGCGGGCCGGGGCAGAATCGGGGTAAAGCGCCATCGCGAAGTAGCAGATGCACCCTGCTCAAACCGGGGCCGGGGGAACTGAGTATATGCGGAAGATTAACCAGTATATCAACTCCTTCGGACCGAAGATAATCGGTACGGCCAAGAACGGATCAACCAGGTGGGATGAACATTACATTTCAAAAGAGGGGTTGGACCGTAAATCCCGATGATGAAAATGAGAACTTAGATCGCCTCACCGTTGATAAGAGCATCCAGCCCCTGGCAGATCGTCCAGTGAAGTCAGGATTGCTTGATCCTAGTCCACCATTCTTTCTTACCATGAAAGAAGGCATGGAAAATGCCAACGCGACGTACGCGAAATTGTCAGCAAGCCATCTGTATGCTCAAGGGCTGCTAAGACGACAAAGGGTTCCTAACGACACGATTGACGGTGAGTAAATTCCTCGGCATTGGAATTTCTTGTTGACTCTAAGGTCAAAAGATCAGGAGATTGGCGACGAACCACCAGACAAACCTAGTAGTCAGCCGCTGCCCCCGCAAGAAGTGATACGGCAGGATGAGAGCTATCCTTTCGCGAGAGTAGTTCCAGACTTTTTTCGCACAGCACTGTGCCGTCAACAACGAATTTCGAACCCTCATCAACTCAAATAACTCGAACAGAGTGAATAACGCTTCTGTTAAAGAAGTAAAGCAGAAGATAGCAACATTGTACGCAGGATATCAGATGCAGCTGCCACCAGCCCTAGCTGAGAGGTTCGGAGATTAAGAATACTTTTTATTTTCTGAAGGTACTGAGAACAACTCTTTCATGTCAGGTCATTTCAAAGGCAAAGCTTTACGCGGGGTTAGCTATTTGTCGGCTATGTTCTACATTAGCCAAGCATATCTTTTTAACGATGATAGCTGCCACGGACTGAAAGAGTCACAATGACAGCTCATAATGATATGCCAGATGTGCCTTGCGGCCTGTTGCATTGAAAACAAAGGCGCGCATGTATCGACATAATAATCGGTGCGTTTCTTTCTTCGTGGTCGGTATAGTTCTTTGTCCAATGCATTCAGGCTTAAATTTATTTAATATAGGGATATGCAAGAAATGTTATCCTGAATCATGCTATTGGCTTTGATGCTGGAGATTCCAGGGCGCATCAGAGTGACAGGTCGTGCTCACGGGGGATTCTTGGTTACCCGCCCTAACTGGCGACGACCTCATGCATCCATCACAGGTCTTCTCTGAGGACATAATGACATCGCGAGGAGAAGAAGATTAACAACGTCTTCAACCTGTACATTGAGATTGCGCAAGTTGGGGGTAATTCCCGGTGAGTCACAATGGGGTTGTGCTAGAGTCAACAACGTCTTCTTGCTCCATCGCTGGTGTTCCATCTTTTTTCCATCTTTCTTCCATCTATCCATCAGCTCTATCTATTTACCAACTCTATAATCCATCGACTCCATCATCCATCAACTCCATCCACCATAACCCTCTTCCACCCTCATCCCCCAAACCGCAACAATCTCATCCCTCTACTTCCCCAGTTTCCACCCACCACTCAAAATGTGTGCCCCGGTCTTCCCCGATCTCTTCGAACACGAAGAGGACATCGACCAGGACGAAGCCATCCGCACCGGCAAAGTCATCAACCAAGCGACCCCGCCGCTACGGACGTGGAGGAAAGGCACTGCTCTACCTATTTTCTACCGGCATGGCCATGAAAGTGATGAGAATTTCATTGATACGGATGAGGGAGCAGATACCGATGCAGACACCTTAAATGACCATGTGGATTCAGAAACCGGCGATGACCATGTGGATGCCGAAACCGGAGATGGCCAGGGTGAAGGGCAGAGCCAATATGATGGTGATCGAGATGGCTCGGCAGGAGGAGTGTATCCCACCAGAAATCCAGTGCAGGTTGTGGGGCTGACTTTTTCCGTGGGTGGTCGGGTGGTGTTTTTGCTTCATCTGAGATGTGTTGGGTACGGCCGCGATGAGGTTGAGGATGAACCAAGGGAAGAAAGTGAAGGTGCTGATGGGCAAGAGGGAGAATATGAGGGTGATGATGAACAAGAAGGAGGATATGAAGATGACGAAGGAGATGAAGGAGATGACGAATATGACGAAGACGAAGAGGAATACGGCGGCGGCGACGACGATGACGACGGTGACGACGATGACGACGGTGACGACGATGACGGCGACTACCCCAGTGACAGCGACTCTGACCACCATCAACACCTATATGGGGAAGACGAAAATGTGTGCATCCTCCCTGACTGCCCCGAGAGACTTCTCATCATTCAGGAACGATTAGAAACCCGGCGTGACTTCTTCCGGGACGCGATGATGATAATGCATGGGAAATATGTGCACTTGTTGGATGTGTCCGAGATGGGGGGCGATGCGCAGGGATATATTCGTCAGTGACACCCCCAATCCCCTTAACCTAGAATCAAGGCGTACTAACAAGTGGAGTATGACAGCTTCTGAAAAGCCGTGGGAGAGTGAAGATGCGCGACTGAAGTGGGCCGAATTCTTGAACCGCGTACCCCAATTTGTTTGCTGGGATGCAGGTAAGTCTTCGCTGCTCTCTCTTCCCCTCCCTCATACACACATATCTGGGCGGGGGTGTGGCGGTACATGGACTAGATGCTGATTCTACACAGACAACAATCTACCTTGCAGCATTGACGATCTCAATGACTTCTACGCCCTGCGGCAGTGGATGTTGGAGCTGCTGCCCTGGGTGGTTGAGTCACCCCCTTTGGCTATCAGGTTGGCCTCTTGAGTACTCGACTTTGAAGCACTGTTGGACAGTGTCAGTCGAGATGGATGGTCACTCAGGGGGCATGATTCTATAGACTGGGCTGGTTGGGTACAGGTAGAGAGGATTGGGACTACTCCAGCTTCTCCCGGTGTGCGACAGGCGCATTCGGAATGAGAGCCATATAATGCCTATGGATGTATGAGGTTTTGTCTGGAGAGAGAGGATGAGGGCAAGGCGCTATGGCTTAGCGAGCTTCTGATCAATTGAATCTACTTACTACGTGGCTGTATGCTTTTGAGTATGAGGTCTTCCGTACCGTGCGAAAAGCAACCCTGTAATCCCCTGACAGTGGGTCCTGTATCCGCTCCCAACCCATGTGGGTCGCAACGGGAATCGAACGCCCCTTGCAGAGGACAAGTGACAGGCACCCACAGAACAAAAAGAAAAATGTAAAGCCCAACGCGGGGGTTGAACCCGCAACCTTGAGATTAAGAGTCTCACGCTCTGCCGATTGAGCTAGCCGGGCTGGTTGGTAAGTGATGCCTGCATTTAGTAAAATATACACCTTGCAATCACAGACAGCGGTGTGCATACCCGCACATTCCAGACGCACTTGGTCCAACCGCTAGCATCGATTCCGTTGTATAGGACTGTCAATTGATGTTGCTGGTCACCAGTATAACTTACTATGTCCTGTTGAGTAGTGTTCCTCTGCTTGCTGTATCTGCAGTAGGTGGGTAGGCCATGAACTGAGGGGTAAACATCTTGTGTTGTGTTCCAAGTGAAGGTTGCCCGCTTTGTTTGCCAAAGATATATTCACCACCCTTTGTACCTAGACCCATCTCCAGCCCAACGCCCCCCATTTCTTTTTTTAAGTAGAACTATCTTCCCACGGCGCTCAACTCACCCTTCCCACTTGACTTATTGACATCACACCCGACAGAGTATTACTCCATCGACGTGTCTCCTTCATCATCCTGCTACACCAACCTCTCTGCCCACTAAGCTCTATCGCCAGAGACTTATCTCACTGACGCAGCAGCGAAGCAATCCAGACGGTCATCCTCATGACAGAGCCCAGCATGGCAGCCTCTCAGGCATCCAAGCTGAAAAAGATCAGGAAGGAGATGCGTGCTCTCCTCGACCGCCTCGATGCTCTCGAGGACATGAACACCACCAACGACGCCAAGGATGCTACTATCCACGGCACCGACAGCGAGACCCAGAATGACTACACCCAGCCAGTGAAAGAGAAGGAGGTAGGAATCTCCCATCCCTCACTCCGAGGCACTGTGGGATGACTGACCCAGAGACCATAGATCACGGCAGGTCCCAGAGTCTCCATGAACGATGTCTTGGAGTGGTTCAACCTGAGGAGCGCGATCTACAACCACGAGCGGGCTACGGTCTTCACGTCGAAGAAATCCCCAAAAATGCTGAGTGAGTTCTAGAGCTCTCCCTTGTGTTGTCAACCAGATCGGTACAACGAGCCTCTGGCAAGAAAGAAGACCCCTCATAGCTGACCATCAAACCATCATGATATTGTGTCCAGGGGAAAACATGCGAGCGACCCGTGGGGTGGAGAAAGACCAAATCACACGGTCTATGATGGAGCTTCAGGTGGACCGGTTCATTATCCCGGCGCTCCTCCAAGCTTGCGGTATCACCGGTACCGGCTTCATCTTTGCGGACGAAGTCGCGCCGTCGAAGAGAAAGGAACAGCCACGGTTCTTCGGCGCGGCGGCCCCAGAGCCTGCTGACACTGTTACTGTTTTTCCTCCTGGATCGTCGCCCTCTTCCGCAAAGCTCGCGATTCGCCTCCTTCATGACACGCCGATACTGCCACAATCGAACAATCCGGACCCGCAGGCACCCAAAGGCTGCGTATGTGCGCCACGCCCATGCTTCAAATGACCCACCTCGCCGAGACGGAGGAGCCCGGTCCCTTTTTCGTGGTGACCGCCAGACCGGACTGGGGAGAGGTCGCGAAGGCCGACTTCACCATGGCCCTGGCGATTGCGGACCACAACAACAAGCTCAAGGGAAAGAACCGTATCCTATACGGCATGCTGGTCACCGCAGACATTGCTACTTTTGCAGAAGTGTCCGAGAACGTCATATCCTACGGCCCTGAGATCGAATTGGCCAAGGAAGAGGACTTAATCAGGGTCTACAAGCACCTTGCCGAACTTCTTACCAGGGGTGCAGTGCTTGGTACCTTGTTTAGCTCCTGGTACTGCAAGTAGTTGTGAGTGAAGTGAATTCCCACATGTAATCACCTTAGCTCTTCCGATGTCAACAAACGGACAGAAGAAGAGAAGATACAAGAATAAGGCTTAGTGAGACTCGCCGCGGGGGGGGGGGGGGACTAGCGAATGCCGTTCATGCCACTGATGCGTTGCGACCACATGACGCGCTTTTCCAGCCACTGTATCTATCTATCTATCGGGTTGATAATTGACATACTCCCCTTCCAGAACATATAACAAAGCTTCTCTGTAAAGCTAACACAAACACCCACACTATGGTGGGGCTTCCTCGTGCCCATTTGCAACCGCCCCAAATGTCGGCGCCGGCCTTCAGACGCCACCAAACCACCTCCCTTAAAGAGATTCTCTTATAGAGAACCCCGATATGAGAGCTTTCAGCCTCTAAGAATCCTAACATCACTGATCTAAGAAAAGGCTCAAAGACTTATCTGCGACTTACGTGATTAAGGAGGACTTTAAGGGGACTTGAAGAGGTCCTCGGGGGGTCAGGGTATCATCAAAGAACTAAAAAATATACAGTCTCTGTACAACAGGCGACCCGAGCGGCAGATTACCTACTATTAGTACCTAGTGTACCGTACTATTATATAGTAGTCAAAAAGCTTGGGAGATTTTTCAAGCACTAATCAGCACAGCCAATTACTCGTCCCCTGATGGCTAGACTTTTTTTTTTGTCAGGCTCAGCACTTAACATTCTTCGTGATATCGGAACTCTAAATCAGATCCTCAGCACTCAAAGCTTATTAGTAGTATTCTACTACATTAAAGGTATCCTAAAGTAAGCTTCGCCTCAGCTGCTTTCAGCACTTATCTAAACGCACGTAGACTCCCTGTCATGTGCATATGAAGTCTGTTCAGCCTCCCTTCGCCGAAACTGCACCATCGGCCCATCCCTGATACTAATATAACTATCCCACAGCCCGAAGACCTCCCTCTCCTGCTCCACCACTTTATCATCACCACCACCACTACCACCAGAACACCCCCCAACCACCCCCGTCCGATCCCCCTCCACCAACCGCAAATCAAACAACCACACCGTCCTCGCAATAACCAAATACAACTCCAACAACGCAAAGTTCTTCCCGGCACAACTCGTCGTCCCGGCCGAAAACGGCAGACAACTCGCCTTTGCCCTCGCCACGTCCTCCGCGGTGACGCCCGCTGCGGGATCCACGATCCACCGCTCGGGACGGTAGAGGTCCGGATCCGGGAAACAATCCGCGTTGCGATAGAAGCTCCAGTGCGCGACGCCGACGGTCGTGCCCTCCGGGATGAACTCGCCGGCGATGGTGATTCCGCCAGACAGAACAGTGCGGGGCAGCTCTGACGAGCCGGCCGGGGTGATGCGCATGGCCTCGTCGACGCAGGCGCGGAGGTACGGACACCCGGAGAGGAGGGTGGGGCCGCCCCGGATTGTATCCACTGAAGGGAAGGTGGACCGGATTTCGGCGACGAGCTTGTGGTAGGCGTGCGGCGTGCGGACGATGTAGAAGAAGAATCCGGCCATGATCACGGAGGTGGTGTCGGAGCCGGCGATTGTCAGCATGATGGCTTCCGCTTCGAGGGCCGCGCGCGTGTAGCCAGGGAGGCCGGTGGCCGGGTCTTTGGCGCGGAGCAGGAAATGCAGCATATCTGGCCGGGTTTGCCCCTGGGCTTCGAGCTCGAGGCGCTGGGCGAGGGATTCGTCGACAAAGTTGTAGAGGAAGCGCACGTTGGGGGGTGTGATTTTGCTTAGCACCCAGTCGAGGCCGCGGGGTTTGAGCCAGACGAGAGCGTTGAGCCAGGGGCAGTGGCCCAGCTGTTTGGATTCAATACATTAGCTATAGTGTCAATACGTCATACCGTAACGTGAACGTACCGGGTATAGTATGCGCAGGAAGAAAGCGATGATGTGGGGAATCTGGCGATGCTCATTGTCCCCGGGTTCTTTCGTATTCACAGCTCGCCCGAAGCAGAGATCACACAGTACATCCAAGACCAAGTAATCGCATACTTCCGACATCTTTCGAGGTCGCGACCATTCCGTGCCTTCTTCGTCGACGAGAAGCTCACACCAACGGGCCACGTGCGACTCCAGCAGCGGCTCCATCGAGCGGAGGGATTTATCAGAAAACACCGTGTTCAGGACTCGTCGTTTGCGAGCATGCAGAGCGGGGTCAGTGCCCGTAAGAGTACTCTGATCATTTCTGTGCCGTGTCATCATGTCATAGAACTGAGATCGCTTGACATTAGCTCTGGCGTTGAAGATGTCGCGATAGGCCTCGGGTGTCTTGAAGAGCAGCCCATCGGGGCGGAAGCGAACCGCATCGCCATAGATTTCATGGTTGCGGGCAATCCAAAGGTGTCGTTTCCCGGTAAGCGACCAGTAAAAGTCAGGCAAGGTCGATATCCTTGCAAAGAACGGTCCCGGAAATTTCGCCAAAGGGCTGAAGTATAGGTTGTACAAAACCAAGCCCACTGTCTGTTTAGAGGCGTCAGGATCCGGCGCTGGAGGAGCGGGAAAGGGGCCAATCGGAGGAGTCAACTAACATAGCAGAATAATAGGCTGGTGGTTCCCAGAATCCAGTGATCTGACACTACATTTGCCAGACCAGCGACGAACATGTTTGCGCGCACTGTGTGTTTGCCGTCCGATGTTCCTCGGAGCTGACGCGAAGTCAATTTTATACGTTGACTCTCTTGCCGACAGGTCAGATTGGGCCCCCACAGGAATTCAGCCAGACACGAGGCCTTTGCATATCCGCCACTTCTTCAGCTGGGAGAAATTCTTTGTGGCGCAAAAATGTCTTGGCGAACACCTATGGGGTTCGTATCTGAGGGGCGGGCGTCGGCTATTCCGGCCAACCTTGGGCAGCTGATCCTCCCCGGCCGCTTGCTAACCCTATTTTTGCTTTTTAGTCTGCAGAGATGTGGGGTCCCTTCAGCTTAGCCGCAAACATTGTACAAGCAAAGTCGGTCCAGACTTTCGGACTTTCAGACACCAGGCCGAATATAAAGCATGCACATTGCCGCAATGAGCATGTCATTGGAAAGCAATGTTCTGCAGCGATCGACACACCCCCCGCCATCATGCCGCTGTTGAGATCAGACCAATCTGGCGTCAGATCAGAGTGCCGTTCACTGTACAACCAGATATGGCATGAACGCTCACCGACGCTTGAATTGGCGCAGTCTGCACTGATGCAACCTTCACCGCTTTCACTGACTCTGGAGGAACGAACGCGACTCACATATCAAAGAGCAAGAGCGTTGGCGGATGCACATAGTACTACTCACCCCCTGAGGCCGCCATATTGGAGCAACGTGACTGACTGAAATAGAGTTGACGGTGAAGGATGTGGCGTACTTGACCCCGAGTTTCTGGAAGCTACACACGGACATGATCGGTGCTATGGACGGTGGCGCGGTCACCCTGATTAGCATCCAGTATAACCTTTTCGTCGGCACGGTCGCTCCGTTCGCTGCAACAAGGCCTGACCTGGCAGTGATTGTGCAGCAGGCGATGAAATTCGATATCTCGTGCGTGCCCCGCCCTCTTGTCTTCAATTGATCTTTGGATTGAGTCAACTCATCGGCCGCTCTTAGTGCACAATTCATGCTTACCGAGGTCGGGCATGGCTTGGACGCACGGAATCTCGAAACCACAGCGACTCTACTTTCAAATGGTGGCTTTGAGCTGCATACACCGTCAAAGGCCGCTGCCAAGTGAACAACCCTGAGCCAAGCTTCGCCCGAGTTAGTACTAAGACCTGCACGCAGATGCATGCCACCGTCTACCCCTCGCAACGGCCTCCCCACTATCGCTGTGGTCATTGCCCGACTGATAGTCGAGGGCGAGGACAGAGGAGTCCGTCCATTCCTTGTTCCCCTTTCAGACGGTACTCAGATGTGCACGGGCATCACCTCAAAGTACGTACCCGATGGAATACCCCCGATCTTTGATACTCACCAAGGACCTCGCAGGGCCCTCCCACCCCGAACGGGCGCCCAACCCATAGACCACGCCTTGACCTACTTCAACCGCGTGCAGCTGTCCTCGTCCGCTTTGCTGGATGATCTCGAAAAGTCGCGAAGCGAACGCGATGATTTCCTGGCGACTATCCACCGTGTATCGGTAGGGACGCTTTTCCTTTCCAGTGGGTGCATCCCACTTCTGAAAATTGCCCTCTACAACGCCAGCAAATTTAGCTTCCGACGGAAGATCCTCGGCCACGATGGGCAGCCGATGCCCGTCATTGATTTTCGCACGCAACACCTCCCCATCCTGCACGCCATTGCACGAGTCCATGTCCTGCAGGCTTTCCTTATCCAGGCGGCAGTGGGATTCCGGGACCCGAAGGTCGATCCGCGCGTACGTCACGCAATCGCAACAGCGTTCAAAGCAGTGGCTATCCACGACTTCCAGACCAGCATAAAAGCGCTGAACGAAGGTTGCGGCTGGCACGGATACTATGAGCGCAACCAAATTCTTCAAGCCGAAGTAAGCAGAGACGTCATTTTTAGCTCGATCAAGTTGTCTAACCTTATTTCTCCAGCTGGAGTTCCGTGCTGTGGGAACAGCTGAAGGCGATATCAGAGTTCTTGCCATCCGTATTTCCAATCCCCTATGGTTGATGACCACCAGCTGATTATCTCATGAAACAGGCCTAGCAAGCGAGCTTTTGATCGGCCGTTACCAGATCCCACCACCTGAAGACCCCGAAAGTCTTCTAGCACAGCATGAAGCAGGCTTGTTCGCGGAGGCGAAGGAATCTCTCAATCTCATCGGCGGGATCCATCGCAGCGAAGCATTCAACCGGACCATCCTTCCCCTAGCCCTTCCATTGATCCAGGCTGTAGGGTATCGGATGGCGATGGAAGCCGCAATCCAAGCTGACATCGACCCCAGGCTGCGGTCCCTATATCAAGCCGGAGTAATCAAGGAAGACTCCGCTTGGTTTAGTGAGCAGGGGGGTCTCAGCCGGAAGGAGCAGCGGCATATGGAGTCTCAAGCGGCAGATGCAGTGCTTCCAGAATTAGAAGAGTTGGTGGAGGGGGCAGGAGCGCAGGTATATTGCACTGCACCCATGACATCAGATACCCTGTGGGACAACTTTGTCGAAGAGTTGGAGACTTTCTCTGGCAACGCAGTGTGGCCAAAACATGCCCCATAGTTCCTTAGAGTTCCTCAAAGAGAGGTGGATTCATTATTCGTGATATTAGCCCGATCCCATACCAATATTCTTGGAGTATATTGAGTCATCCACCCTCATCCGTCCTAAAATGACAAAGTCCCGGAACCTTTGACTGTTGTAAGACGAATACTTTCCCGACCCACCGCCGTCATCTTCCAACAAACCAATCGCGTAGACATCCCTTCCAGCGGCACGTTCCTCATTGATGATGCGGACAGCACCCAGGGTTTGTGCGATCGGAAAGCTTCCCTCTTCAAGGATCGCGAGGTCAACGCACTTTTGCAGCCAATCCTGTACTTGCAATCCGCATGTGAGATCGTCACACTTGAGGATGCAAGCCAGAAGTAAGCTCGCAATACCGATAGAATAGGTATTTCTGCTAGCACACTCGATAATATCCAAGCCTGCGACAGTACGAAGCAGGATGGTCATCCAGGATGTAGTGACGGCTTGGTGCTTTCGTGGCCGAGTTTCTTGGTCTTCGTCGGACTCTACTCTAGGATAGAGTACTTCTGTGCATTGCATAATTCGCGCTGCACTGTAGTATGCATAGTTGACTGCTGCCTCGTAGGAATGAAATAATAGTGGAAATTCGATCTCAGAAAAACGGCCATGCGGAGGTTGGGGCAGCACATCAAAGGGGAGCCGAGACGGATCGAGGCGAGAATGCCACTCGTCAAGCTTTTGCCCTTCTGCCTCCAATGATGACATGCATTCGTCGACGGTGCAGGCAGCCAGGCTTCGCGCACAGGTTTCTGATAAGACCTGAAGAGTGGCGATCGTGTTCAGCCGGTGCGACTCGCACAGAATGGATACAAGCAGAGTTTTCTGAGCATCAATTGTCCGCAGCACCTGCGTCAATTGCGGTGAAACAGAGAGCGACCTTTGGCTGAGTTGGAGAGCAAACGTGGTGAAGTACATTCTGCGCCACCACATGTGGAGTCTTGATGCAAGCCAGGCGGCAATGAGTTCCTTGCCAAGTGCGTCTTTAGATAGGTGTGGAAGCTGCAGATCAATTATCTGGGCAATTCCCTGGCAATGCCATCCGAACCCTCGGAAGTTTCCCATAGCTGTCTCCATGAAGCAGAAGAGCACCAGTATGGCCAAGGTTGTCAATGGCGACGATGCAGCCTTTGCTTGTAAGGTTCTTGCAGTTTCGCCAACCGCGGAACTATAGTACCGCTGGCTGGATAGTTGATGAGTACGATTGGGCAAGATGATTAGTCTGCCCTGATTTGTGTGGCCCTCTGGAGAGCGTCGGCTGACGTTGCAGGATGCCAAGGCAAGCAGGGAGTGTTTTAAAACATTATCTGTGTGAAGGATGGAGTTGATGCCGTGGAAGAGACGGCCCAGAGCATCGATGCATGAGCTTTCCCAGTAGTTCAGGTAGAAGTATTCACTTTCGACGATTCTGAAGTCAATCACAGTGTCGATGTGCAGGAAAGACTCAGCCGAGGCAAGTCTTCGCAACTCATCTACATCTCGGTCAGGGTCTTCTTGGGTTTGTGCTTTGCAGACGCTCAACGGGACCACCTGTTCCGACTTGCGGGTTGCTCCGCTAGCTTCGTATACCCGCAAACTGGATGGTGAAGTAGACTTGTAGAATGGCTGCCATCGCACATGCTGAAGGGGCTTTGATACAGCTCTGTGCACAGAGGCAGTTCGATTGTTGAAGCTGAAGCTTGGTGACACTTGTTCGCAGGCCTTGCCTGCCCGGGTACATGCCCCGCATGATGGCTTAGTTTCATCACACTACGGGGATCAGTGAGGAGAACGAGTCAAGCAATTGTAAGGACGAACTTTGACACGACGCTCGCGACATAGCTTGCAGCCTGTACGCGAGCGGACTATGCTGGTCTTCTTCGGTCGAGGCGGTGCGGGTCTGTACATCGCACCATCTGACCGGAAGACTGACTGGATGGTGCTTGTACCTCCTGTCAAGAGCCGCACTGACGCTAAGAAGGGTTATTCCGATGTAGTTGAGACAATGACAAAGAATCCTCCTATGCAGTGCACTATTGAAGGGAGCGATGAAGTGCCGGTGAGTAGAAGGCAGCTGGACCGAAGATCGGAGCCGAGGCGAATGTCGAATGACTAAGCCGAATCCACCTTCCTGATTCAGTGCGCGGGAGCGAACTATCTCTCGGCTGCCGCCTTCCAGCCTATCCTCTGCCAACTCCCTTCACATAATCGTACATACGAATACTTCCTTGTTCCGTACATCGCTCAAGGACTGTTGAGAGTAGTGGGGTATGTCCTGATATGTCTGCCTGAAGCTTTCAAGATGAGTTGACAATGTTCACTGGCAGGGGCAGATGATTGATGTATTATCTCCATCCCGACCAGCCAATGTTGCTTAACCGCGGTGACCCACCTACCAGATTCGGTGTACGGAAGCGCGAGCGGAGCTGATATTGAGGTTATAAAATAGCAGAAAATCTCTCCTCAAACCCACATGAGTCTACCTCATTCCTCATCAGCACACTCATACAGAATGGCCATCACCTCGTTCCCCGCAAGACCCTCCCCCTCCACTGCGGAGCTCAAGCAATTCTATGTCGGCAAAGACATCAACGACGTGCCCAAACCGGCCGTCGTGCTGGACGTGGCCATCATCAAGAAACACTGCCAGGCCATGCTGGACGCAGCCACAGCGCTGAACGTTGGATTCCGCGCTCACGTCAAGACCCACAAAGTCAGACACATCCCTCCCATACCATCCCCCACACCACACCATAACTAATTGACCTCCTGAAGACCCCACAAGCCACCCGCCTCCAGGTAGGCGAGTCGAGCCAAGAGGTCAACCTGGTCATCTCCACGGTCCTCGAGGGCGAGATGCTCGTGCCCCTGCTCCAAGAATTCCAGCGCGCCGGGCGTTCCGTCAACGTGCTGTACGGCATCCCCCTCGTGCCGTCGCAGGTGCCCCGTCTCGCCGCACTCGCCCGCCTACTAGGCGAGAAGAGCATCTCCGTCATGATCGACCACCCGGACCAGGTCGATCTCCTCGCAACCTTCCGTGAGGCCTCCGGCCACGCCGCCTGCATATTCCTGAAGGTGGACTCCGGGTACCACCGCGCGGGGCTTCCGCCGAACAAGCTCAACAAAAACGGGCTGCTAGAGAAGGTCGCGGCCGCGGAGGAGCAGGGCCACGCGTCGCTTCTGGGGTTGTACTCCCACAACAGCTTGAGCTATTCGGGATCTACGCCAGAAGAGTTGATGGCATATCTGAATGAGGAGATTTCCAGCTGCAGAGAAGCGCTGAAACAGAACCTCCAGCTGCTCCCGACCGACCGGGAGTTGGTCATCAGCGTCGGCGCGACGCCGCAGGTGGTTTCCTCGCAGCACCTGTTGCATGAATCCCTCAGTCCCGGAGCCCAGGCGCTGAGGAACCTCCTCCACGGCCCAGACCCCGACGTCAACGCGAAGGTGAAGGTTGAGCTTCATGCGGGCGTGTATCCGTTTCTCGATATGCAGCAGCTGGGGACCAATGTGCACAAGACACGGGATGCCGAGAGCGAGATCGGCATCTCCGTCATCGCTGAAGTGTGCAGCGTCTACAACAATGGGGAGCGTTCGCAACCTGAAGCGCTGGTCGCGGCAGGCTCCTTGGCTCTGGGGAGAGAGCCGGCCGCCTCGTATCCCGGGTGGGGACTTATCAGTGCTTGGAGACGGGAACCGGGCGCTTCCCGACTCCTTGTGCAGCGCATCAGCCAGGAGCATGCTATTGTTGCTTGGGAGGATAAAAGCGACCAGTCAAGGATCCCTCTCAAGCTCGGCCAGTCTGTGAAGATCTTCCCCAACCATGCGTGTATCACCGGTGCCCTGTATGGATGGTATTTGATTGTAGATTCCAGTGAAGACGGCGATGGGTCTAGGATTATTGACGTATGGCCGAGAATCAATGGCTGGTAAAATATATCGACATGAAGCATTTTTTCCTTTGCTTTCACAAAGCTTGCCATGATCCATTCACCTATAGACCGCGTACTGTACTTAACTGGAATCTATCGAACCGTACTGTACCATTGCTGAGTCGATACAAAATCCCCACCGCGGTCCCGGCCCCAGCGGCCAATCAACATCACCAGAATGGGCGAATTCCCCCCACAGTCTTCTCTTATCATCATAACCTCCGCTACCTACTCTTCCCCATCACACTACACCTTTCAGCCCGGAGCGATCCATGACTAGTCCCTTAGACCCCTATTTCTCTCACTCGACTAACTCGCCGGGGCTTCTAGAATACAACACGAAAGTCAGCTCAAATGCCGGCGACTAAACGGCTACGCACCGAGCCCATCGTGCGGGTCCGGACGGGGTGCTGGGCCTGCCGACGGCGCAAGAAGAAGTGCGACGAGGCGAAACCCGTCTGCGGGGGCTGCGTGCGCAACAGGCTGACCTGCCAATGGCCATCGAGTGTGCTGGGGGTCCCCAGCGCGACTACGCTTACTGCCTGGACTGCCGCTACGCCCACCACTACATTCTGCCCCGAGAGCCCTGCGCAACCACGCCCCGAGCATATCGCCCGAACGCAGACCCGCGTCTCCAGCTCTCCTGAGACACCCTCATCATCGTCGTCACCACCACCACCACCAGCAGCAGTATCATCGTCAGCATCTCCCGACTCCGTACTATCTCAGGAGGAGATCCCGCGCGAGATGGAGCTGCTCGAGGATGAGAACAGCAATCCCACCACCACCCCAGGCTTCACTACCGCCGGCTCACAATCTACCGCTACAGAGCCCCCGCCCGCTCCAGACCGCACAGCCGCGACAACAGCGCTCACAACAGTAGGCCACGCGCTCCCGCGCGCGATGTCGATGATGCCCAACCACGGGCTGGACGCGTACCAGCTGCTGAGCCACTACATGGCGACGACGGCGGACTGCATGGCCAACGGGTCGACGCCGATCAACCCGTTCTTGGTGCAGATCGTGCCGCTGGCGTTCAGCAGCGACCTGCTGCTGCAGCTGGTGCTGACGCAGAGCGCGGCGCACCGGGCGTTCCGGCAGCTGAACGACTCGGACGAGGTGGCGCAGAGCCACTACACGAAAGCGCTGCAGCTGTTCCGGAGAGGGGTGACCGAGTTCATCGACGGGCAGGAGTCCAACCCGCTGATTCTGACGGTGGGGGCGCTGGTGATGTGCTTCACTGAGGTATGGCATGCACCACTCTTGATTTATTAGTACAGTACAGTACAGTACAGGTACACGTTTTCTCTCTCTAGATGAGCCCTGTTTGGTTAATGCCCCGGATATGTAGACGGCGAAAGGCGACATGAACGGCACCATCTTCGACCACCTCTCCGCCGCGCACTCCCTGCTGATCCGGCTGCTGGGCCACCACCACCACCAGGCGGCCGATGCGGCCATCCCCAGAGACCTCAGGGATTTTGTGATCGAGTACTACACCTACACGGCGGCGGTGAGCATGATCTCCATTGACGCCCGGGTCAGCCAGCAGGTGCTCCTGAACTTCGACCTGGAGCAGAAGGCCCGCCAGCTGCTGGAGGTCGGGTACGTGGGGAATCTGTGCGGGTGCTGGCTGGAGTTGCTGTTGCTGATCCCCTGTATCTTCGACCTCGGGCGGCACTGGATGATGCTGCCTCCGACGGATGATCCGGATAGTGGGGAGCAGCCGGCCATCGTGCCAACGGCCGACGAGATCGCCATGTATGGGTCGCTGCAGGCGCAGATCATGCGGTGGGCGCCGCTCCCGTCCGTCTCGCCCGAGGTGTTTCTGGCGGGCCGGATCTTCCAGCAGGCGATGCTGCTCTACCTGTACACGGCGCTGGGCGGGCCCCGGCACTTCGCGCGGTCGAAGACGGGGATGCATCAGATGCTGGTCGAGACGGCCATCGCCGAGGCCATGTCGTATCTGACGCAGCTGTCGGCGACCGCCCGCATCAACTCCGGGCTCTGCTGGCCCATCGCCGTCGTCGGATCCTGTCTGTCCCACCCGGACCACCAGGAGAATCTGCGACAGCGGTTGACGACGATGGTGTCTACGTTCGGGCTGGGGAATATGCACCGCACGAAGCTACTCCTCGAGCACATGTGGCAGATGCCGCTGGAGGAGGCGGGGCCCTGGAACATCTGTCGAGCGATGGAGCAGAATCAAATCTGGATATCGTTTGCATAAACAAGGAAAGACTACCGTCTACCGTCCACGGCTTCTCGATTCTAAATATACACTAGTTTCATGACTCATCGCAGCATCCCTCCTCCACAAGACCAGCTTGGAAAAGCGCAAGCGGGAATCCTGGTTCTAAGAGGCCTGGTTCTTGGGGGCCTCAGTGGCGGGACCCTCCGGGGTGACATAGGCCTTGGTGAGACCGCCGTCCACCACAAAGTCCGCGGCATTGACGAAGCTGCTCTCGTCGCTGGCCAGGAAGATGACCGCGTGGGCCTGCTCGATGGCCTCGCCGAAGCGACCGGTGGGGAAGTGGATCTCGCGGCGGAAGCGCTTCTCCTTGTCATCGCCGAGCCAGTCCTGCAACAGGGGGGTGCTAGTGCCATTGTCAGCCCAAGACGCTCCACCAATCTCAATCCGCACATCAAGGAAACACTCACTTCAAAGGAGCCGGACACAGCGAGTTGAATCGGAATCCTGCACATCAAACCAGCCACCGTCAGCAATCCACCCCTCACCACACGGGAAACCACATACCTTCTCTCGCATGCACGATCGCCAACTCGCGGGTCATGGCCAACACGGCGCCCTTGCTCGCCGTGTAGGCCAACTGCGGCGTGGCGGCGCCGACCAGCGCCACCATGCTGGCCGTGTTGATGACGCTGCCCTTCTTCTTGCCGTGCTTGCGCAGACTCTTGACGGCGTGCTTGCACCCGAACCACACGCCCTTCACGTTGATGTTCATGGTCAGGTCCCAGATGTTCTCGGGGGTCTGCTCGCTGTCGCCATCCTGGGCGTGCATGATGCCGGCGTTGTTGAACATGACGTCGACGCCGCCCCAGGCGTCGAGGTGGGCGACGGCGGCCTCGACCTCGCTCTCCTTGGACACATCAACGGTGCGCGTCTCGACGCGGCCATCGTGCTGGGGCACGACCTCGCGCACCTTGGCGAGGGCCTTCTCGAGCCCCGGCCCGCTGACGTCAGTCATCAGGACGGACGCGCCCTCGCGGAGCATGAGGATCGTGGTTTCGAGGCCGATGCCGCTGTGTTCCGGATCATCGGTCAGCTTGTCTTTGTCTTTGCTCTTGGAGCAATCCCATCTCGAGTATATCGTCCCAGCAAAAGAGGGGTGGAAGGGGGGACAACATACCCCGCCGCACCGGTAACGATAGCATTCTTGCCTGCAAGTCGTCCAACCATTGTGTCTGTCCTTTGATTAATCCTTCTTTTAATTCAGTAGCGTAAATCCAAGTCCTTGATTGTGTGATTGAACCACCGATATTCCGCGAATATTGGAGCCCCGAAGTGAAAGTGCAGGATGAGTTTGCGCGTGGAAGACAGAAGTGTGGGAAAGAAGAGACCCCGACCGTCGACCGCTTTAATATGGCCTGCCCTCCCCCTCGCCGCGGCCAAAGCTACTACCCTTCCAACCTTTCCCCACCAAGTTACCCCCCACCCCACCTTCACCTTCACCGCCCGGCAACCGCGCTTCGGGGTGTTCCACGTGTTCGCCGCGGCGCTGCCAGAGACGAATGGACACGTGATTCGCTCTTCCAGGGCATGGACTCACCGGACCAGAGGGAATTCTTCGGTAAAATGCTATTATTTTATCTTTATCACAGCATGATTCTTATCGCTTGGATGATTGATTAGGACAGGGTCCGGATAACTTACTGTACTGTAAGTTACCTCGGATGGAGGGGTAAAAATAAAATGCTGAGCTTGTTACTGTAACTGTGTACGATAAGCGATAAGTTAAGCATGCGATACGACACGGGAAGTCGGGTCCGTGCCCCGGGCCCCTATGCTTTGCTTTGCCGGGTGAGCGCGGTCCGGGACCGCGCGGCGGGCGGTTGGGAGCTTCAAGTTACCTAGCTAGTAGTTAGCTTAGCTTAGCTTAGCTTATCGGGTGCTTTGCTGGGTTGCTCGGAGAATACTAGGTAGGTTGGGGTTGGTTGTCAGGGGGGGTATTTTCTTGCAGTAAGTAGTTGGTGAGGGTTGTTTGGAGGGGGAGCTCTGGAGGATGATGGTTCATATTGAGGATTGAGGCTGTTTATCTGGTGGTTGAGGAGGAAGAGGCAAGGCAAGGGAGGGGGGAGTTCGAGTGCCGGGGATCCCTGCGACGGCTTCGATCTACTAGGGAAGACTCTTCTAGCGTACGAGGAGATTTGTTTGTAGCAGTTGTGCTGCACTACGGGGATACCTTATTTTTGGAAGGGCTACGGGACCAGAAAGAAGTACGAGGTGAGAAAATGGACATACTGCTCAAGTGCGATTACTAACAGCACCCAGTCTATTTCATCGACCACACATAACTCATTAGAACGCATCAACCGCCCCAGTTTACTCCTCCTTGATATGGAAACTCTTCATCTTGTAGAACCCATCGTAAGCCTTAGGGCCCAGCGTGAACCCCAGACCCGAATTCTTCCATCCGATCCACGCCAGATCCTGTTCCCAAAATGTTAGCACATACGTTTCTTGCAGATGGATTCCCCAAACATACCGGACTGGGATAATCGCAACGGTTCAAATACACCGTGCCCGCCTCGACATCGTCAATCAACTCCTCGCCCCTCTTGATATCCTTGGTCCAGATGCTCGCCGTCAGACCGTAGTCGCTATCGTTCATCAGGTCGACCGCCTCCTCGTCCGAGGAGACCTTCATGATCGGGAGCACCGGGCCAAACGTCTCGTGCTTCATGACCTGCATGTCGTGCGTGGCATTGATCAACACCGTCGGTGCCAGGTAGTTCCCCTCCGCGGGTAGGTTCTGGAATGTGGGGTTCGACGGCGTCACGTCCACCGCGCCCTTGGACAGGGCATCCGTGATGTGCGACTGGATGTTCTTGACGGCGAGGCTGGAGATCACGGGGCCGGTCGTCGTGGATTGGTTGTGGGGATCGCCGACTTTGTAACTGTAGATTCAAACAAAACATTAGCCATCGTAATTGGGGATTGTTTGAGGGGTTCAACGAGGAAAGGGGCCCTACCCAGCCAGTTCCTTCTTCACCTCCTCCACAAACGCATCGTGCACGTGCGCGTGCACGTACACCCGCTCGATGGCGCAGCAGCTCTGGCCCGAGTTGAACACCGCCCCGTCGACGATGTTGGCGGCCACGGAGGCCAGGTCGGCGTCGGGCCGCACGTACGCCGGGTCGTTGCCGCCCAGCTCGAGGTTCACCGGCACCAAACGGCGGGCGGTGGCCTCGCGGATGCGCAGCCCCCCTAGCGTCGAGCCGACGAAGGAGATGAGCTTGATCTGGGGCAGTTGGGCGATCTCGTCGAGCACGTCCGCGGAGCCGCAGTGGATGACCTGCAGCACGTGGTCGGGCAGACCGGCCTGGGCAAAATAGGAGGCGAGCCGTTCGCCGAAGATGGGGGTCTGCGGGGAGGGCCGGAGGATGACGGTGTTTCCGCTCAGCAGGGCGGGGAGGAGGGCGTTGACGGTGATGAGGTACGGGTACTACCAAGCTTAGCAACGGCAACAGACTCGGCAAAACTGATTTGCCACTGACAGGAACAGGGGTAAGGTAACTCACATTCCAGGCGGTCGAGATCAGAACAGGACCAACGGGTTCCTTCTTGATGAAACGCCGGAATCCGTTCTCGGGGGTGCCGGGGAGGTTCTTCAGGCTCTCTTCGGCGATGTTGAGCAGGTAGTCGGCGCGCTTGCGGAAGGTGTCGATTTCCTTGCCGGTGTAAGCGATCGGGCGGCCCATTTGAGTCGTCAGTTCGGCGGCCAGCGTGTCTCGGTCGGCGACGATGAGATCCAGCGCTTTCACGACGATCTCCTTCCGTTGGGCGAGGGTCGTTTTCTTGTACGTGCGCAGTGCATCTTGGGACGCTTGGACGATTTTCTGCGCCTCTTCGAGAGAGGTGCCGGGGTGCTCGAAGATGACCTTGTTCGTCGAGGGGGAAAGGGTACGGATCTGGTTCGTCATCTTGGATATGTTGCCGGGTGAGTCTCAGTCTGTAGAAGCCACAATCGACCTGGATGAGATTGGGATGGGGGTTGGGGAGTAGGTAAGTGGCAGCTGGGATGAAGAGTTCAAGGTTGTTATAATCGGACGATAAGAGGTGTGGGAGGGGCAAAGTGGGCACGCATGCGATTGGCGCGCTCCATCGGCGGAGGCGCGGTCTGGCGGTGGGGCTCGACGTAAGGATGCATCGATGTGGCGGGGAGGGGGAGAACACAATGGAATCATCAGGCATGCTACTCAGGGCCAAAGTAAATGATTGAGTACTCAAATTCTACAGTAAGCATTTCTCCAAATCAATCCAACATCCCCAACGCAAATCGGGTCATCGTTTCCGCAACAAACACCCCGTCATGCGGCTTATCGACCCGCGACATGCCACCCTTGTAGAAGCCTTCCTCGAACACACCGCGCTCATAGCGTATCTTGAGAATCGAGCTGACCATGAACTCGTTATACTCTGGGTGACCTTGAACAGTCAGGACCTTTTGCGGGACGTATAAACCCTGGATACCACAGATCAGACTGCTACCCAGGTTGACACATCCCGGCGGAACTTCGAAGACAACATCACGGTGCATCATCTGCAAAGACTGTACTTCGTCAGTACCTGATTTTCCGGCGGGGCATTCCAGTCGACATACAATCTCATCCTTCCCAAAAAGCTGCCTCCCTACACTAGTCAAGTAGAACGGCTCGACGGCCACCTCCCATCCAGAGACACTGGGGCCAACGCGTGCCCCCAGAGCCCGCGCAATGATCTGGTGGCCGAAGCAGATCCCGAGCATGGGTTTGTTGTGCACGGTATAGCAATCTTGGACGAAGCGGACCAGCGTGAGTATCCAGGGCTCATCTTTGTAAGAGTCGTGTTCTAAGCCGTGTCAGAGCACTGTCTTCTGAATAGTAGTTGGCTTGCCTTACTGCTGCCGGTCAAGAGCACGACGTCGAAGTCTTCGGGTTTGGGGTACTCGGCAAATGGTAGTACAACGTTGGTCTTTGTCAACTGCAGTTTCACCGGAGTCTCAATCTTCTGAAGCCCCTCCTTCAGGTGGTTCTCAAAGATATCCCCGTAGGTGCCATATTTCGTGAGGATGGGATCCACTGGCGTGTCGCATTCCAGGACAGCGACTCGAAGAAGTTGGGTCATCATGCTTGCGGTGATTATGTTGGTAGTAGCCAGTCGCAGCTAGTGCGCAGTAAAGTACTACACCCATCTTGACGTTTTATACCAAATTCTTAGAAGCTATACCAGCAACCGCGGTTCGAATGGATTCCTTGCTGGGCTCCCCGTTGACACCTGAGGCAACAGGCAAGCTGACTGTTACGTAACAAACCTTAGGTTAGAGCATCACGTGCCTTTTCTCCAACCGACCCCTCACGAGAGATAAGCGATAAGCGCGGTCCCGTGGCTTGCCCCGCAGCAGCGCGGTCCGAGGTGTTGGGAGCGCGCGCGGTAGCTGTATAGCTCCAACTCCCCCAGTCCTGGAGCCGTCACTTTCGGAACCAGTATCGCCAAATCAGCCCTTGCCATTGAAGACGGCCAATGAAGTCGATTGCCGCGCGATGGAGCTCCAGTGGAGCTTTGTACCATGCTGTCGCAAGCATTGCGACCGTCGTCGGGGGTCACGTCTCGTCGCTGCTGCGACTCCCCTCCCTTTAAAGTCCTCGCCTCGCCTTTCCTTCCTCCTCTCCATTTCTGGTTTCCACACTTTTGCGACTCACTACAGAAGATACCCGTCGCGATGACATCCGCAACCATCACCGCGGAGGACCTCCCCGGCCTCCTCGCCAACGACATCAAGGTCAAGGTCGCCGGCATCGACTGCGACGGCATCCTGCGCGGCAAGGTGATGTCCACGGAGAAGTTCCTGGGGATCGCGCAGAAGGGCTTCGGGTTCAGCTCCGCCGTGTTCGGGTGGGACATGCAGGACGTGCTGTACACGACGGAGGCGAAGATCGCGCCCGCGGACTCGGGCTACGTCGACTTCATCGCCATCCCGGACCTGCACTCCTTCCGGCGCATCCCGTGGGAGGACAACATCCCGTTCTTCCTCGTGCGCTTCGTCCAGAACGACCAGCCCGTCTCGGCCGACGGGCGCAGCATGCTCCGCGCGATATGCGATCGCCTCGCCGCGGAAAACTGCCAGGCGATGGCCGGAGGTATGGCCGCCTGCAGGCTGAGACGGTCACTTGACTGGACTTTGACAAAATGCTGACCCAGAGACAGTGGAGCTAGAGTTTATGAACTTTCAGACCCCCTCCGAGGACGGGTACGGGGCGAATGGCTCCCAGATCCGCGACATCGCCGCCTTCCTCGATAAGAATGCCCCCGGGGCGCTGCGCCCGCTCACGCAGGGGAGCTTCTCCTACAGCGCCACCAGACCGGTAGCGTACAAGAAATACTTCTACGATATCTTCGACACCAGTGCACAGTTCAACTGCGGGATCGAGGGCTGGCACACGGAAGGTGGACCGGGCGTATACGAAGCAGTGAGTTTGACCGTGCTTGCGGAAGCGAGTGTCTGTGCGAATGCTCACAATCCCCAGGCGCTTAAGGTATCTCCCGTCAGCGAGATGGCAGATAAGGTGTCTCTATTCAAGTACGCACGCCCTTCATCCCCACACTACCCACCGCAAACTGACAACCCCCACAGACTCCTGGCCAAATCCGTCGGCCTCGAGCACGGCATCACGCCGTGCTTCATGGCGAAGCCGATGCAAGGCCAACCGGGGAGCTCGGGCCACATCCACGTCTCGCTGTGCGATCTGGCGGGGCGGAACCTGTTCGCGCGCGGGACCGAGTCCGAGACGCCGGACCCCGCCGCCCCCTGGGCCGATGCCGCCGGCCTGTCGGACGTAGGCCGGCACTTCCTGGCCGGCCTGCTGGAGGCGCTGCCAGACCTCATGCCGCTGTTCGCGCCGACCGTCAACTCGTACAAGCGGCTGGTCGAGAACTTCTGGGCGCCCGTCCACGTCAGCTGGGGGCTGGAGGACCGCATGGCGTCGATCCGCCTCATCGCGCCGCCCGTCTGCAAGCCCGCCGCCACGCGCTTCGAGGTCCGCATCCCCGGCGCCGACCTGCACCCGCACTACGCGCTCGCCGCCATCGTCGCCGCCGGCTGGCGCGGCGTCCAGCAGAAGCGCGAGATCCCCGTCCCGCCCGTCGCCGCCATGAAGGCCGCCAACACCCTGCCCGAGCGCCTCCCCAATACCCTGGAGGAGGCGCTGCGGCGCTTCCACGCCCCCGACAGCATCGCGCGCGAGATCCTGGCGCCCGAGTTTGTGGATTTCTTCACCGCCACGCGCGAACACGAGCTGCGCGTGTGGCGGGAGGCGGTCACGGATTGGTAAGTTCCCTTGTCCTTTGTGAGACTGCAATGTTGATTGACGGGGTGTACAGGGAGTTCAAGCGGTATATCGAGACGGTATAGGTGGGTGTGAATGTTGCGCGGCACTGTAGATTATGAAGAACATGAGAGATGAATACCATATACATACTACGTACATAGTACCTGCATAAGAGCTTGAATTAGCCATTTGGAGTGTCATTCGGAAGAAGTTGGAACGTTACTTAGACCCTTCATTATATTCGGCTATGAGATTACTATGTATTAAGCTTGGAGGAAAGATAGGGAATCAATAACCACCACTACACATCAAGAAACAAAGAGATACGCGAGTCATCTCGCACAATCTGGAATCAAAAGATAATTCAAAACCATGAGATACAGAATGCAGATATCGAGGGTATAGAAAATGCCAGTCGAAGTCGAGAAATGGGGCCCCGGGTGGTGGGGCTCAGTCGTTACTTTTCGGCTCGGGCTCGTCCTCGACAGTGGCAGCGGCGGGACTTTTGCTATGCCCGTTACTGGGGGTGTTGTGGTCGGCATCATCATCATCGGGATGCTCGTCGCCCACCGCGCCGTCGTGCCCGCCGTCGTCGTCATGGTGGTGACCGTTCTGCTGCTCCTCGCCGTTGCGCTGCACGTTCTTGCCCTTGTTGTCGCCGTCGCCCGGCGCCTTTTCGGGGACGAGATCGCCCGCCTCCGTGCCGGACTCCTCGACGATCCCGTTCTTGCCGCGCTGCTTGGCGCGCGCGCGGCGGATCAGCCGGTTGTGGTAGTCCTTCCGCTCGGCCTCCGGGTCCTCCTCGACGATGCGGCGGGCGGCCTCGCGGCCGACGACGGGCAGGCGGTCGACGCCGGGCGGCGCGGCGCCGGGCGGCACGTACTTGGGGTCCAGCAGGCCCAGCTGCACCAGCACGCTGGCCTGGTCCCAGTACATGTGCTCGGAGTACAGGCGGCCGGCGCGCAGGCTGACGATGCTCACCAGGATGAGCTCGACGCGCTTGTGCGTGGGCGGGATGCCCGGCAGCATCCACGGGATCTCCTCGGAGTGCTCGAACGAGGCGTACAGCTCGTCGACGACGCGGTCCGCGCCCACCGTCCGCGAGATCAGCCGCAGCCGCATCGACGGCGGCAGCTTGCGCAGGAAGTGGTGCTCGTAGAAGCGGCGCAGCGCGTGCGCGCCGATCCCCCCGCTCATCGTCGGCGCCATCGTCACCGCCGGGTTGAGGTGCGAGACGTACGGCTCGACGGTGCCTTTGAGGTTCATGGAGAAGAAGCGCGCTAGGTGGAGGGGAGTGTGTTAGTGTTGGTTAGGGCAAGGTGGTTGAGGCAAGGTGGTTGGGGCGAGGTGGTTTGAGTCAAAGGCGTACGCACCTTCCAGATGCTCCTCCCATCGCGACTCCAGATCCAGGTCCTTCCCGAACGCCTTGCGCAGCACCTGCAGCGTGCGGCTCCACGCCAGATCCGACGCCAGCCGGTCGTATTCCTCCAGGTCGCTCTCGGCGAACCCCGGCTGCACCGAGGCGTACGTGAACGTCGGCCAGCCGATGTTCAGCCGCTCGCCCGTGCCGATGCCCGGGTTGATCTTCTTGGTCGTCCGCTTCTTCTTGCCCTGCAGCCCCAGCGCCGTCGGGATGGTGATCATGTCCACCGTGTTGCCGGCCAGGTGGCAGAGCACCCGTAGTTGCACCGAGTAGCGGTTGCGCGTGTCGGGGATGGTGGTCGGGTAGTAGGCGATCAGCGCGGCGAGACGGCTCGCGTTGGTCGGCTTGAGGAAGTAGTCCATGCAGAAGGAGGCCGCGTCTCCGAAGGCTGGACGATGAGATGTCAGTCCGAAGGCGGGATCGCCACGGCGTGTGCTTACCGATGATCGCATAGTTGTCCCCCACCCCCAACCCATCTTTCACCGTCCGCAGTCGAGCCGCGTAGTCCTTCCCGCCGTTGTTGAACGGCACGTACACCACATCGAACCCCTCGTCCGCCCACGCGCGAATGGTCTGGGTGTCGAACTCCTCGGTCTCGGCCGTGATGCACACCCGCGCCGTCCCGAGGTTCGCATTGTTGTAGATGAAGCCGGATGCACCGGGGGCGTTGATGGATATCGAAGCCATGGTCATTGGGCCTTAGCCTTGTTGTTGTTGTTGTTGTTGTGATTCTCAAAAATAATACCAGTAGATGTAGTGTCTGCCAAAAGGACAAGGCGAAAAACAAAAAGAAGGTCTGACTGACAGCTGTCTCTCCCCCTCTTCTACCGTGGACGACCCGGATCTACAAACATTTTATGGAATGGAGGACGCCTACGTCACTGCCTCCTCCCCGTCCCGTTCCGCCTACGTCATTGCCGCCCGGCAAGCCTGGATCAGCTGATGGTCAGGCCTATATGAGATTGGTAGGCCAGTAGGCCAGTAGCCCAGTCTGCCAGTTCATTCGAAGGAGCTCGGAGCATTTGTTTACTTCCCTGGTTTTTGGGATGTTGTTATAGATGTGTTGTTGTTTTCTGCAATGATGGTTCCCAACGGTCGAGCATTCCTTGGGATGGGGGAAACTTAAAATGGTGGATGGGAATGTTGCATCCTCAGGCAGAGAGGGTGAGTGCCTGGAAAGGCTGGGCTAGATCGGGTTTAGGCCCGTTGGGAGCTCGGAGCTGTCATCGGCCTCGCTCCGATTGCCGGATTGGGTTGTATACTTGGTGAGGTACGGTAGCCTCGGCACTCACCGCCAGCGCTCTTCAGAGTCGCTGTCTTTCTCAGGGTTGGTTATGACCATTGGATTTCAATCCGGGGTCACTATCTTATGAATCGAAGTTCCATGAATTCGTTTGCTAATAATCGCAACACTCTCTATCTATCTGCTGTGTCTATCTTGTGCTGGTCCAGTTGTCAATGGGTGTGTTGCAATCATATGAAAAACATCTTTCCAGTCACACACGTGCGATATATAGCACCTCCGTTGTCTTCTCACTTTGTCAATTCTGGGATATTCATAGAAATTTTGTTGCAATTGCAGTCAACTATGGCGACAGATTGTCCGTGCAGAGTTATCAAGAGCTACCAAAGAAGCTTGAGAGCAGACTGCAAATCACATCTGATAAGAAACTCCAGCATTTAAATCGCGGCAAATCGGGGTAGAACCCTGCGGACAACAGAGCTATCCCCGCGGGAAGTCAGCAACGTCCTGCAGGAAAGAGAGGGGTCAATGCGGAAGATCAATGCTCATCTTGTGTACATTACTCCGTATGTACCGAATACCGACGTGCAGAGGCAGCGACTCTACGTACTGGTCGTGGATGGCGTGATGTCTTCCAGAATACATTATCTTTCATGCAGGGTATTCCGGGTATTTCTAGAAGAATGGTCGATGGCGGGATACAAACAATCTTTATTTGAGGTCCCACCAATTGCATGAAGCCAGACCGCTTAGCTGGTAGCCTCGATAAGCTAAGGAGGGACTAGGAAAAATGGGGAATAATCTAGACCCATCGGCCGTGGTGGAGCCGGGGTAGAGAGAGAGAGAGAGAGAGAGAGAGAGAGAGAGAGAGAGAGAAAAGCTCAAGACGTCAGGTGCCCTTCGGTTTTTTCCCCTTCCATTCTTTAAACACGGTAAACTGGGCGAGGGCCTTCAAAAATGCATTGATCTTTCCCCACCGCAAGATAAGAACGATAAGCTATAGTTAGTTAGTTTAGACGGGGTTCTTTACCCACTCCAAATCCTGTTTTTTTGTGCTGTGCTTTTCGAAAATTCCTCCCTTTTGTTTTTCTTCTCCAGCCCTTCATTCACAATTTTTTTCTCTTCTGAAGTGAAAAACCGCGAAGTAAGGTGGTGGCTGGCGAAAGAGAACTCTCGAACGTTCGAACTTCCCTTCCCGCAAGCCCCGGACCTCCCAAACCCAACCACTTTAACTTTCCTGCCGACCTTCCCTCCCCCAACCTTGAAGCTGAGACAAGCCCATCCTTCCCGTTTCCCGTTTTCCGTTTCCCTTTTCCCTGTCCATTCGTCGTCGTCGTTTGTCCTCCTCCTCCCCTGGCACCAGGCTCTGTAGCCTTGTCGCTTCCACACCAATCGCTGCACTTACTACTTAGCTTCTGGTCATCGAAAGTACAGTACAGTACCATGTCTTTGGTCCAGCACGTCTCTGCAATTGAGGGTGCGGACCGCGAACCCGATCCTCACGATGATAGCACCATCACCACCGCCGTAACCAGCGAGCACTACGGTTCCATCCGTCGCAAGATCAGCTACGACTTTTTCCCTCCACCTCAGCCACCCATCGAAGAAGAACTGCACTCAGGGACTCCGGCTTATAAAGTCCCCACCGCCACGCGACTAGGTAGGTGGTACAAGACTGGAGTTTTCTTTTTTTTTTTTTTTTTTTTTTTTTTTGCTCGCGCGAATCTCCCTGTTGACCCCGTCTAGCCCAGGTTGCCGTCACGATTCTGGCATGTTGGTTCGCTGCAGGCATTGTCTTCGGATTCGCAGCGCTCAAGCCGGTCTTGATCGCGGAGGGAGTATACCGGGATCTGTGCACTGACGAAGAACTGCGCGACGGTGTCGATGTGTGTTTGGAACAGGATCTCAGGTGCGTCTGGCCCGTTCCACCAAATTCGCCCCCTTGGAAGGATCATATCCGCTGACTCGAGCAGACTCAACTTCTTCTTCACCGTGAGTTCGATCACAGCCAACGTGTCTGCCTTGCCGGTCGGAACCATCCTGGATCGCTATGGTTCGCGCGTCTGTGGCTTCGCGGGCTGCGTGCTTCTGTCCATCGGCTGTGTGTTGATGGCATATTCGTTCTCGGAGCCCGGGTTCGACGGGTACATCGTCGCGAACTTCTTCCTCGCCCTGGGCGGGACTTTCATCTTCGTGCCTTCGTTTCAGATCGCCAATGCGTTTCCCAAGTATGCAGGAACCATTGTGGCCCTGGTCACCGGCGCCTTCGATGCATCGGCAGCTGTATATTTATTCTACCGTCTGGCGTATGACGCCACCGACCGGTCCTTCACCCCCCAGGCATTCTTTACGGGGTACCTGCTGGTCCCCGTGCTTATATTAATCGCCCTTATCACTATCATGCCCGCCCGCGACTATCAGAGCGCGCATCAGTTAGAGATTAGAATCGAAAAGGCGGAGGACGCGACCCGCGACGTGCACGACTCGGATGACGACATCGAGAGTGACTCGGAGCTACTGCGGATCCGCCGGGAGCGTGCCAAGCGCCGCCTCAACAAGATCCACAAGATTGACGAGGTGCTGGGCGATCGCGAAGAGCGGCTGCAGCGTGAGCACCACGAAGAAGAGCGCCAGGCGACAAGCGCGGTCTGGGGCGCGCTGCATGGCCAGCCGGCGCACAGGCAGATGCTGACCCCGTGGTTTGTCCTCATCACCCTGATGACGGTGCTGCAGATGCTGCGGATGAACTACTTTATCGCGACCATCTACGCGCAGTACGAGTACATGTTGCAGTCCGCCCCGTTGGCGGCCCAGATCAACAGCTTCTTCGACGTGGCCTTGCCGGTGGGCGGAGTTGTCTCCACGCCCTTCATCGGGATGCTGCTCGACAACCTCAGCGTGCCCTCCATCCTCGGCATCATCGTCGCGCTCACGACCGTGATTGGCATCCTCAACTCCATTCCTGTCCTGTGGACGGGCTATGTGACCGTGACCCTGTTCGTGTTGCTGCGGCCACTCTACTACTCGGCGATGTCGTAAGTTTCTTGTCTCGGATATTGACGTTGGATCGGAAGATATGCTGATGGGTTCTGAATTTGTGATTCGCAGGGATTACGCCACCAAGGTGTTTGGGTTCGCCACCTTCGGGCGCGTCTACGGGACTATCATCTGCTTCTCGGGGCTCGTCAATTTCTCCCAGTATGGCCTCGATGCCCTCACCCATGGGCCTTTTGATGGCAACCCCATCCCCATCAACATTTTCTTCGCGGGCGCTGGATTCGTCGTGGGGACGGCCCTGGTGGCCTTTGTCTACCTGGCCGGACGGCACATGAAGGAGGAGCAGCGGGACATGGAGGAGAGTGGCGAGCGGCAATGGTTGATCCCGGAAGAGAGCGAAGAGGATGTGTATGGGTCTACTAGATAGTCTGTTGTGCCGAGGTTCGAGGGGGAACGGAGCTGAACCCGACAAGCGCACAGATAAACACTCTAGAATATGGTTCTAGGGGTAATCGTGTACATTTTTATTGCTATATGCGTGTGGGTGTGGCCCGGTGGTTCGGTGGATGAGGCGTTTTTTTGTGTTTCCGACTCGGAAGAATAACGAATGATCTGTGCATAGCAATAGGTAGTTTAGTGTTTCAGTTTATATAGGGCATGGAATTTTGATTTGCTTGAATGAGCTAGAACCGAGCCCGACCAGCAGCTCCTTGCAGATACACCACGCGATTCCCGGCCAGACCCTTTGGTCGCCACGCCAGGCCATGGCAAAGAGTCAGTTGTTCGTATCCGCTCTTGGTCTGGCTGCCAAGGGGAATGCCAAGGGACCATCCACTATTCTCCCTCCCAAACCCCCGCATTCTTTCTCCTGGCCTCCACATCGCCCAAATCCGGGGAGGGGAAGGTTGTCGACAGGTCTTGCTCCAGTTTTTGTGGGGAAACCCCCCCCTCCAGCTTCCCCGGACCATTGTCTGTCTTTTCTCCTTCCCTTTTCTTCCCCAGACCGAGGTAACTTGTTGACTCGTTGAGCGGTTATTGGATTCATTGCTCCTCAAGGTTCCGCGAAACTAAGTTTCTTGTTTGGCAACGACGCCATCAGCTGAGCGAATCTGAATCTGTGTGGTCTGTGGAGGGGAGACAATGGAGGGAGTCGACTTCGTCATGTAGCCGCGTGGGTGGAGAATGACAGAGGAAGAAGGGAGGGGGGGGGGGTGGATTTCCGGTTGACTCGTTGACTATTTGACTTGTTCTGCTCTGCTAGGCTTTCTTCCTTATTATCTTTGTGCGACATATAACTACGATTCACAACCCCCCCAACCGACCGACAGTTACCCCCTGCTTTTTCTAAAATCCCTTCTCATTGCTTTTTCTTTCTTGGTCTTGGCAAGTTAGGCTTTCCATCGATAGTCGCTTTTGAAGATCGAGTTTCCTTTTTTTTTTTTTTTTTGTTTCTCTCACACCTCTGCACACGCCCGTCATGTCCCCTCCCAGCAGCGAGAAAGGCGGGGCCAGCGTGGACCGCATCGAGGACATCACGCAGGCCAGCCCCAGTCCCCACGATGTCGACCACGACGAGGAGTACTCCTACGCGGAGCAGCGCAAGATCATCCACCGGATCGATCGCCGGCTGGTGACCATCACCGGTCTGGCGTATTGTATTTCCCTAATGGATCGGACGAACTTGAGCATGGCTGCTGTCGCGGGGTGCGTTTATGGCTTTAGGTCCGCCGTGGTGCAGCCTGTGTACTGACTGATTGTGCCCCGGTCCTAGCATGACGAAAGACCTGCAGTTGACGGTTGGGACACGCTATGTGGGTGTTTCCTGACCCTGTGGCTAGTGGCTAGTGGGGTTGGTTTGGTTGATGGGCTTGTGCTTGTGCTTGTGCTAACCCCCCGCTGACTTAGTCGGTGATCGTGCTCATTTTCTTTGTTCCCTACGTGATCTTCCAGCCGCCGATGACGGTGGTCACTCGCAAGTTTGGGCCGACGATCTTTCTGGGCAGTATTGTTATCTCTTGGGGGGCGATTCTGGTGGTGAGTTATTCTTTGTGTGTTGTTGGGATTTGATTGAAGGTGCAGTTTCTGATGGTTGTTGGCGTTTTAGGGAATGGGGTTTACGAAGAATTGGAAGCAGATGGTTGCTTGTCGGTTCCTCTTGGGGATTCTGGAGGCTGGTGAGTGGGGGGTTTGGGTTTTCCCTCGGGGAGGGGTGAGGATGGTGCTGACGATGGCAGGGTATTTCCCGGGCTGTGTGTATCTACTTTCCAGTTGGTACACGAGGTGTAAGTTCTATGTTTTCTTTTTGAGGAGTGTGGGTTTGTGCTGACGACGGCGCAGTCGACGTGCAGAAGCGCTTCTCCATCTTCTACCTTATCGGCTGCGTCGCCTCTGCTCTGGCCGGAATCCTCGCGTTCGGGCTGATGCAGATGGAAGGGCTGCAGGGCTTGCGCGGCTGGCGATGGATCTTCATCATGGAAGGTGTCGTACGTATACCTGGGGCATGCAGTTGGCGACTGGCTGGTTTCTGATGCAGCTGTAGATCACCGCGGTCATCGGGGTCCTCACTCTGATCTTCCTGGTCGACTTCCCCGACCGAGCCCACAAGTCCTGGCGCTTCCTGACCGAGAAGGAAAGCTCCTTCATCGTCCGACGCATCAACCGCGATCGGTCGGATGGCAACGAAGAGCCCTTCTCGCTGAAGCGGTTCTTGTCTCCCGCTCTGGATCTCAAGATCTGGGGGTTTGCGATGATTTTCTTGTACCCCC